CTCCGAGCTGCCCGCGGCTCCCCGTCCCGCGAGGGCCCCAGCGCTGCCTGAGCACCGGGGCAAATGCCAAGGTAAGAGCAGAGGGTCCCGCTGCCTGGGGACAGAAGGTCCCCGGGCTCCTTAGGGAGGAGGAGGCAGGTAGATCAGGAGGCTGATGCTTTCCTAGGATAGAGGGAGGCTACCGCAGAGAAATCAGGGACAGCAGTTAATTGTCCTGCTGTGGACAACAGCAACTCTGACCCAGTTGCTTTCACTCCTGAAGGTTTGGGCAGAAAGCCCCTGTGTGAAAGAAGGAAAGTGGGAGAGGCCCAGCCTCCAAACAGGCAATGGAGGCCCTGCCATTTCCTCATTCCCCAGCTGCTTGGCCAAGCTGGGGATCTTCCCATGAGAATGGGAAGGTTCCGCTCGCATGGGGCAGAGAGGTCGAGAACACAAGGATCTGGTGCAGAGAACAAACGGGCACTGCTGCCTTGCCCAAGGATTTTGCCTCGGAGAATATCAGGGCAAACCCTCGGAGCTTCCTGCAGCGTGGGAAGTGCACTGGCTGGAGCCATGCAAGCGACTCTCCTTTCTGATTGCGGGTTGGAGGCAGAGAACCGGGCGCTTCTCCCGCGCGAGTCCAGGGTGACTTGGTCAGGCTCTGGCCCGCGGTACCGTCCCCGCGCGCGGGGAAGCGCCGCCCGAGACCCAGCCGCAGTCGCTGCCACAGCAGCCCTGCCGAGGGCGGGTGTTTTGCTGACTGGCTCAGTATCGCTCATCCCTTCCAGCAAAGGCGAGTTGCTGGAGAGGTTGCGTAAAGCAGAGCTCCCAAATATGCGAACGCATTCTTGACTCTTTGCCCGGAGCCCACCAGCTCCTTTTGAAGATTAAGATACGAGCGATGAAGGCGATTCGCCTTTGACAGAGCAAAGGTCGTGTGAAAGTATGAACCCAGCGGTGTTGTGCAAAGGGCTGGCGGCGCGAGGCGCTTCCTCTGGGGCAGCCCCTGCGCTCGGGTGTCTGGGCACTCGCGCGGCCGCGTCGCGGGGGACGACGCGCGTTCCACGCGGAGCTTTGGCTGCCCCTCGGCCTGAGCCCCACGGCCGTCCTCGGAGCGCGCGCCGCGGAGGGGCAGGATTTGCCTCCTCTGCCCTTTTCGCATCCCAGACTCCCTGCTTGTGGTAGCATCTCTTGTAGTAGCTTCCAGGGAAGAATTGCTTTGGGGTTTATCAGAGGACAACACCGAGAGGAGGTTTTTGCAACTTTAATTAATTGTATTAATTATTCACCATCAGCTAAAGTGGAAGCTCTCCCATCAACCTCAGCTAATGATCATCTTCCAATATCCCATGTGTTCTGAACACCACCACCAGCTGCTGCACTTTAACCCTGCAGGCCAGGGGTCAACACATGCTCTGCAGAGCTCCAAAGTCCCATCCGTGGAACCTCCCTCTGGGGTCTGGGATCTCCTGCTCACAGCACTGGGACCCACTTGCTGTCGTAATTGTAGATGAAGGAATCCCTCTCGAGTGCTCTGGGTGAATAAGCACCTACAATGAGAAAGGTGCATAAAAAGAGACATATAGCACCCTGTGAGCTGAGTTTTGCAAGAGCTCTGGTATCCGCAGTGCTGGGTGGAGGGCTCTGCTGCTCAGTTGTACAAATAACACCCAGTTTCTGTGTCTTTACCCACGCTTTTTCATTCCTTGCATCTCCACCCAAGCAGCTCTGAGAATCTCAGTGTGTGGTGTGGTTCCCCACTGACATAATGGGAAAAGCAGCATCCTGTGTTTTGTTAGGACACCCACACATCACATTTGGGTCTGGAGATCCACTGTGATGGAGACCAGAGAGGAGCAAAGATCGTGGTGGGGACGAACAGGGGGAGAGGGACAGGGATGAAACTCTTTTTGCATCTTTCTCACAATATGGAAATCTTTAATGAGGTCAGTGAGGTGACCCCTCTGCTCCACTTTCTCGTCCTTCTCCTAGGTTATTCCTAGGACTGGTATAACTAAATTTCTGGTTGATGAGACAGGTACCAAAACCCTCAGCATGTGTGAATGTCCTCACATTGTCTCCTGGAAGTGGGTGTTTGCCATAGAATTAGGGTTTAATGTTAACATTTGGTGTTTGTGGACTCTGGGCTAGGCTCAACTTTATTATGTTGAGATTGATGATTAGATGATAGGAGATGATAGGAATAGGAAATAGGCTAGAAAGACTATTCTTAACAATTCTGGGCCAGATCTTCAGCATGAATGAAGTTGCCTAGCTCTGTTTCTTCAACTGAGACAGATTAATTCACATTAGCTGGGGCCTTTCCCCTAGCATAGTGCACAGAGCAGCTGGGAGCTGGCATGTTTACATGGAATGTGACTGGGATATGGCTCTAGAAAGCCCACTCGTGCTGTTGCAGGGGTTCTGGATAGACTGATGGCACCAGCATGTTCTGGAGCTGTCCCTCCTCCCCCTTCACCAGGCTTTCCTGATCACAAGCTACAGGACGTGTTTCTTCTTTCACATCTATGTCTGGAAACCCTTGGGGAAGCCCAAGGAGGAGAGAACAGAATGGTATAAAGTCAAGGAGACTCTGTGCTGAGGTGCTCTGTAACACTGCTCTCCAGCTGGGCCATGGAGGTGTGTTCTGCTGTAACAATACACCTTTTCTTCTCTCTGCCTGCAACTGCTCCTCTTTTCCATCAAAACAGTAAAACACCCCAGATGAAATGTCTGTTGTACCAACAGCCAGAATTGTGTGATAGTCCCACACAGGCAACGTAACTCACAGAACCTGTTTGTCAAATGTGCTGACAGTCAGTTACATTTTAATGGTCTTTACATCACAAATCTACTTTTTTTTCCCCCAATCTTGCCCTTAAAAATAATATTATAAAATATGCACCAACAAGTCAGAAAGAGGCGGCAGTCAGGACTCTAGCCCTGCTTCTGCCACATTGCTCCTCTGTGCCCTTTGGAGACTATTTAGCCCAGATAGGCAAAGAGACTGGATCATCTAAAGGTGCCAGAAGAGACTGTGGTCTGATTTCAGATGGATTTAGGTACTTGATGCCCATCATAATCCCACTGTTTCCAATTCATAAAAGGTTCTACGTGTTATGTCCTACTGATTTTAGGTGCCTTCTGGAAACAGTGTGGATTTTGGTGTGTCTACACGCTGCTGACCTTTGCAAAGTGTTTTGGTGTGTCTTTAGTAGTGAAGAACAATTTTCAGTTTTACCTGGCCCAGGGTAACCTTCCAGGGATGCTCCCCCTGTCCATCGCCTTGCGTTGGACACAAATGCAGCGCTGGGCCGGTTCTGCTTTGGAGACCCTTTGTAAGCCACAAGGTCATACTGGCCAGGCCCAGGTAGAGGAGGCTCCTTGCAGGGTGGGATGGCTGGGGCAGAGAGAGTCAAGCAGAATTTCCGCCTGTCAAAAGAGAAAAGACTTGAGAAACTTGCTCTGAATTGATGGTGTTTTCATGGCTGGAAACAGAGGCTGTGTTTGCAGTTAGATGCCCTGGGTAGGTGGATGCTTAAAGGTCCTAAGCCAAGATCTTTGAGAAATGAACTGGGCATAGCAGGTCCAGTTGCAGTGCCACGGACAGCTCTATTTATTGCCAAATACAAGACTTGCCAGTTGTCCAGACCCCGGCCTGGTTCTGCTCAGCTACTCCAGAGCAAGATAGCGCTGAACCCAGACACTTGTGCCAAGTGCCTCTAGCCAAGGGTTCCTCCCGTTCTCTCCTCCTGACTGGAATGGGAGAGGGCACCGGCTCCAACCTTCACAGATGGGTGTGGAGCATTTTGGTGTTTTCTGGCAGAGCAGACTGACAACCTTCTCGCCTCAAATTTAATTTGCCCTCTCCTCCAGCCCTCTGTCCTTATCAAATGCCATTTGGCATTGCTTCTGTCTCTGCCTAGAGCTTCCCACTCTTTTTACAAAGCCCCTGTCGTAAGATACAGCTGCTGAGATGTAGTAAAGATACACCTGTTGGGTAAGGAGAGCCATGGGCTTTCTCATGTTCTCATTCTTTTCCATGGTTAGGAATTTATTGTTGATCTTAATCTCAGGCCAGGCAAAGTCAGTGCGTAGTGACAATAAATATACTTGAACAATTTGCTGATAGGCAGATTTATTTGTCTTCTCATACGATACCAAGGGAGAAGAGGGCTTGGGGGAAGGGAGTTTCCTTTCATGCCTTTAATCCCTTGGAAACAAGGGGCAGAATGGGATCCATAGGAATGAAAGCTCCAGCTTGAAAGAAGTTCTTGACAGGTTTGCAAGCTTCTTTCGAGGTCTAACTCCCAGCCTTAGCAGGGGCTCAGAAAATACCCACTGAGTCTGCTGAGACACTGTTCAGTTGTTCACAGATCTGGGGCTCTGAGGCTGGGTTTAGGCACTGGTAACACAAAAGAAACACAGCCTAGTGCTCAAAGTCTGTGCCTGGGATATGGAAGCTTCAGGGTCTTTTTCCAGGCCACGTGTGCTCTGGCTTCTCACTCTGTAAAATGGGGGTAAGAAATTACCCCTACATCATATGGGTGGTGCAGGATTTAATTACTGTTTGCAAATGTCTGAGAGATTCTATGATAAAGGTACCTCTGATACACTGCTCCGGGGTGTTACCAACCCGCACTCCCCTCCAAGGCAACGCACTGCGGCACTTCCATTTCTGAGGCAATTCCCGCAAACCTTGGGCAATAACTGCCCATATCAGACCGTGTTATATAGTGGGACTCCTTTGCTATTTGAGGTATTTTCATATGTCCTATAAAAATGGCATGTCTTCCAAAGCTGGACTTACCTGGAAGGAGTTTTCTTTGTTTCCTTTACAGTTTTACGTGGCTGATAGGTTGCATACTCTGTAATGAATCTGTCCGTGTTTGTTTGATGGGAGGTCTTTGATTTGAAGCAAGATGTTATACTCTTAGGAGACGCCTTGATGGGGGAATCACTGATGTTGTAGTGACCTACAAAACAAACAGGAAAGGGATGTAAACACCCTTCGTGTAAAGCCCATGAGAGTGGCACTGAGGAATGACAGAGCATCATGCAGTGAATGTAATAGAGGGAAAAAGAACTGGCATAACAGCATCGTGTGGGGAAATCATTTCTGGATTTTAAAAGTGCTGTCTGGGCAGAGCTTATTTCGAGGTGCACTGATAAGGCAATGCTAAACTCTATCCTGAGCATGGAAACAAATGGAGATATTAGCAACTTTAAAGAATCAAACAAACAGGAAGGAACTTGCACGTGGGATAACATGTAAGATAGGTTACAAAGGTAGAAGCCCTCATGCTGCAGGTCTAAACCTCACCAGGCAATGGGCCAGGAGCAGACTTCTTTTGCTGCCAGAGTACTGAGCAGCCGGAATATTATACACTAATGCGGCTTCTCCTGAAGCCTCTGGAATTTGTATGGAGCTGTAGGGTGTTTTGGTGATTCCTTATGGCTACTCAAAACTATCAGGATGGTTTCTGATGGCTGTCTCAGGCCATCCCACAGCCCTCAGAAGGGAGACTCACTAGCGCCCTGATACCTGCTTAAGCTCATCATTGTCTTAAGAAGCCCCAAGTGACCCAAAACTGTGTGTGACAGTGGTCTGTGCCCTGCAGAATCAGACCCTAAATCACCAAAAACATCTGTCCTACCAGCTCAAAGCTTCACTTACATGGAGAAGGCCATTTTCCCTTTTTTTCCAAATTTAATCCTCTTGTGGTTTTGGACACAAACACGGCATGAGCAGAAACATTGTTGCTTCGCTTGCAGAAATCCCTAGAAGTCTGTTTTAGAAAAAGGGCTTGTGAATAGCTTTGAATTGACTTTACCTGTGGGTAATTACCAACAAAGGAAAAGCCACATGTAAAATCCAGTTGTCTCCACTGTGAATGGTTCTAATGACACAGCTGTAGGCAGTATCAGGGCCAAAATTGGGGAGTGTTTACCAACTGTAGGTAGGACTCTTTGTGACTGCCCAGCAGGTAAAAGTTGCATTTACACAACAGCTGCTGAGGATTTGAAACTCTTGCATAAAATGTGGTTTTGTGCATTGAACTGCAGACTTCTACCATGTCAGCTCTACCTAAATGTCCAGCTTGGTTCAAGCCACTGACTGAGCCCAGAAATTGAGGTGATGCTGCCAAGACACCAAAGGGCTGTCTGCATGACAGCACGCTGATGTAAGTGGAAGCGTCCAGTCAAAGCACAGGAGTGAGGAGGTGGCAAGAAGATGCCTAGGTAAGAGTCAAACATGAAAGACTTTCCCAGTTTTCTTATTTCTTATTTTTCCTATGTTAAAGCTGGTGAAATGCCTACAAATGTCATGATGATTAACTGGCTTCATTTCAACATCAGGTTTGATCCCAGACCTGAGGACAACTTGAGACACTATTTTCCAGTTGCTCACACAATCTTTTTCTTAATATTTGTTAATTTTTAGTTGTTGCTGCTTCAAGGGCAAAGCCTTCAGTTCTTAGAAATTCCTTTTTTTGCCTAAGAGCTGTGATCACGTAAAAACTGCAGGTTTTGGCCACCTTTTTCTTCTTACTTGTCTCTTTGTCTATAGTCATAAATTATCAGGAACTGCCATCTTTTAAATAGATAGTTTCCTGTTCTGCTTCTTGTAGGTTAGATATTATCTCCTACAGTAAATCATGAGTCAGTGATTAATTCAAGAAGGCCGTTCCCAGAAGCAAATTCTTACAATGTTAAAAATAATATGATGCGAATCCATTATACTATGATATAGAAAATAATTATGGCCTGCAAACTAGTTTAATCAACTTAGAACATGCTGGGGCAGATACTCAGCCAGACTGAGTCATCATAAGAAAGTTCACAGTCTTAGTGCTTAAATGTACGAGTGAACATGATTACCCCATGTCAGCTGAGTCTCAGTAACTCTGTGTATGTGCTCTTTGCACACCCAAATTGTGAGGTAAGACATGATTGTTTAAAACACCTTTGCTGATGTTTAAAATATAACAAATTAATTTATAAGAGCATGAATTGCCTCAAGAACATGCAGGCAGCCAGTGAAAATGTCTCAGCTATGAGTGGCAAGCTGATTATTAAGCTTATTAAACTGTGTTGTCTTCATTTTGTACTAAGCAGCTATGCAAAGTCATCAAATGTTACAAAGACTCAACATGTTTTACCACATGGTGGGTATAATTTCACTGAGGTGCAGGTTAAAAGGGGAAGGCTTATTAGGAAATGGGTGCAATCTAAATAGGGGAGAAGCAGTAGTCCAGCAGAAAAAGCTCTCAATAGTAACAAAACAATCCAAAAGTAATCACAGCTATAGCAAGACACTATTGAAGGGACAGGGAAGTTCAATAGCAGTGTGTATATTATTATGAATTATCTGGTAACTGCTAATGACACTTTGTGTTTTGTTAAGATCTTCCACTTCAGTATCTCAAAACACAGTGTGAATTCCTGTGGACTAAGGCTTACGACACCCGAGGAGGCTGGTCACCATGGCATGGGTGGAGAGCATCAGCCATAGAACAGTTAAGTGACTTATACAAGAGTGAATCAGCAGGAGGTTCAGGAACTGAACCTGAGGGCTAGGTCCTCAGCTGATATAAACTGGCACAGCTCCACAGCAAGTGGAAGGGCACAGTCGGTTACGTCAGTTGTACGTATGCAGTCTTGTTTTCCAGCTTTGAGGTTGAACCTCAACACCCAGTACCTGTTAAAGAGGTGAAACTCTACATACCTGGGGCACCTTAGCAAAAGTCCCCTCTAACCAACCCACACAGGTAGGATTTGGGGGATGAAAACTCACGGGGTCCTATGGGGTCTTTCATACCCATGTGTGTGTGTATACATATTTATTTATATCTACACTTCACCAGCATTACACATAGCTGTGCTCCCCTTGTCCCTGCCCACAACCTTCCTTACATCGTATTGACCAGGTGCTGGTGTGGGGATTTTCTCAATCTTCCTTGCAATGGGTTGTTGAAACATGCTAGAGTTTCCTGTGCTAAAGTCTCGCTTGGATTGAAAACATGATGGGATCCTGTAGGCATTTGCAGCTGGATAGTTGGCAGTTTTGCTGCATGCAATGCGTGCAACCTGGAAGCAGAGGGAGCAAGGAAATTGTCAGTAGGTGAACAGAAAAAAAATCAGGAAGTACCTGAGGCCTGGAATTTACCAAATGTAATTTTTAAGGACAAATCACCTTTTGCATTTTAAAGATTTCAGAAACTGCTGCAAGTTCTATAAGATGAAATAAGGGAGTCTACTTTTTCAGCTATTAAATACTGTTGGTTGCTTCCTCCTGGGGTGCAGCTCAACAGCCTTGCATAAGGTTTTACACTTACGTCTCGTGTTAGAACGGATCCTGAGGTTGTTCACTTTAGCCTCTTTCCAACAGCCTGGTACAATATTTTAATTGAGGTTACACACTGTGCATATGGATCCTTCTCTACACCTTTATAACTTAATAACAGCTCTGCCAATTTTGCTTAAGAGGGTTTATTCAAAATTAAAATGACCACCTCTGTGTGGGAATTGAGTTTAAAAGGTAAGAGCACATGAAATAGCAGCTTACCTGTTGGAATTCAAGCTTAATTATAGCTGTGTTTATCAACAATGAGAAATGATTTTCCTTCTTGGCTCCATTTTAGAAACATCCCCAATACAATATTAAATAGGTATTCAAAACAAGAGTAATAAGAGTAGGTTAAAGACCAGATTCACAGTCCACTGAAGTCAATACAAAGGCATTAGCTGACTTAGTGGCTTTGGAAATGAGTCTGAAATAAACTGCTTCCTCTTACCAGAGAAGGAAAATATCCAGTTCCTTTCTGAGACAACGAGATGCTGTTGCTCTCTGCAGACTGATGAGTGACATTATAGAATCCTGGGCCTGGGGTTTCATTCTAGCAGGAGAAATACCACATTTGGTGACCAAACTGCATTAGCAACCACCCTGCTGGGGTAAAGGCACTGAGATACTGGCACAGATTCCAACTGTGGTTAATGGGAGAGCTCCTCTCCTCACCAAGTCCACGCTCTTCATCTTTCTGACCATAGGCCAAAACACATTGGTTGTTTCTTCAGAAATCTTTGGATTTCTAAATTGAGTCTATTCCTCTCTCAGCCTTGAAGAGGCCTATAGGCCAAAACACATTGGTTGTTTCTTTAGAAATGTTTGGATTTCTAAACTGAGTCTATTCCTCCCTCAGCCTTTTTTTAGACTTGAAGAGGCCACAAGTGAACACAACATTCCAGCTGAAGGTGTACTCACAGCATATATAATGACACTATTATATTTTCTGTATCATTTTCCAACCCATCACTCGCACCATAAATTTTCTGCTTTCATTGTAATTGTGCATTAAGGTAGATGTTTTCATTGTTTCAAAATTATAATCTTTTGATGCAAGTCTCTAGTTGCATGGAAAAAAAATAGTATTTCTGAGTAAGAGGAAGATCAAATTTCCCTACTATTTACAGGGCAATTTGTATAGACTGGGAGCCACAGCAACTCTAAAATCTCACCTGTAACATCTCAGTTGGACCTAATTAATTCAGCATGTGGGCAGAGTGCATTATTTGCAGTCACCACACCTTTCCTAACTCTGTATTTTTCTGGGCTTTTCAAAAAGAGAACTGGGCGGGATTCTATTTATAGAGCCAAATAAATCAAACCCAGCCTATGTCATACATGATGACACCTCCAGCTTTTCAGGCGTGGTCCCATGAAGTGCTGAATGCCTTTAGTAACATGATCTGCCTCTGCCAAGCCTAGAAAAAATAGTGGGAATTAGCAGATCTGGGATCATGCAGGATGAAAGAGATAGTCCTTTACCAACATAAATGTTAGATGATGCTGGTATGGAGGATGGAAAGAATGGAGGCTTCTGACCTTTGGCAGCATGCTACCATTGTGTGACCTTCACTAATTGCCTTGTCTGCCAGTTATGGATGGAAACTATTTTGGAGAGAAGCCCAGAAGTGAGTCCCTTTCTGTTCTGATGATTTCAGAGTTGGATTGAGATAGTCATCAATTAAAACTGGAAGAACATTGTAAGGAATCAGATGCCCTGTCATCAGCATGCACAGTCTTTGCAGATTGGTCCTTCCTCATAAAATTGTCACCTGGGTTATAAAGAAAAAAAAAATGTGTATTTTTCTTTGTAGGAAAATGCTACAGGACTGACAGCTGAGGTATGTGATGCAACTCTGGGAGCTGCAGCGGCCGTGCTCAGCATTCTGCTGTCAGTTAGCCTCTACGCAACAATTCCAGGATGACAGATTTACAGATTCCTGAACTGAGCTCCTGCCCACACAGAGCAATGGAGCAGGCAGAGATCCTGAGCTACCTATTTCTGAGCAAGCCCCAGAGCAACAAGCAGGACAGCCACTGTGCTGCTCTGGGGACTTGGGCTACCATCTCCACGTGGCCCTGCCATGTGGAAGCCCTGCCATGTCCTTGAGGCTCCATGGACAAGAGGGCTGTGCTGAGGGAGGCAGCTTTGGTATCATGTGCTACAACTGGCTGTTAGAATCGCAGTGAGTTTCCAAAGTAGCTGATAAAAAGCTGCACCTGCAAGCTCCATTTGCTGGTGCTGGTCAGGCTTGCCTGCTCCAGGTGACCAGCCCACTGAGGCTTGGATGGTGGCCCACATACAGCCCTGCCCCATGAAAGGGAGTTATTACTCTGGCAGCACGTTCTTGATTAGCACCTTCCAGGACAGCACGTGCCAAGGAAACAACTACAGAGCCCTTCAGCCATCCGCTGTGTCCAGCGCTGCGTTTGCTATGCCCAGCAGCAGCTCAGTCTTGTTGAAAGTAAGTA